ATCCAGAGAGAGAGAGAGAGAGAGAGAGAGAGAGAGAGAGACAGAGAGAGAGAGACAGAGAGACAGAGAGACAGAGAGACAGAGAGACAGAGAGAGAGAGCACTTTACAACTAGAGCCAGTGTTTGAATCCAGTCCTTTTATCTTTGACAACTAGGTCTACATAGTCAGATGGCTCCTTTCCCCTTCCGAATACCATGTGTTTGTCATGTCATGCAGTCCCGGGATCTTGTCATGGTCTCATCTCACTCGGGGCCTCCTCTGAGTTCTTGACTGACTTATAAATTTTGATACACCGAGTTCACTCTTTACCATAAAGTTTATTCATGTGACAAGGACAGCATGCTCTGTGTTCACCACAGCATCACACTGTTTAGTCTCACAATCTTTATAAAGCTTTCTGCCTTTGATAGTTCCCAGCCATCAGTTTTAGACTGATATCTACTTGATGTTTACTGGGGGCAAAAAAAAAAAAAAAAAATCTATCCTGTGATAGCTCATTTAGACAGTAGTTCTTAATCCAGGCTGCATACTGGAACTACCTAGAGGCCCTTCAAAAAACTAAACTAAACTAAACTAAACTTATGCTGACCTAACCTCCAATTAACATTTGGAATAACTCTTTTAGGTGTGTTAGTATGGGCTGGGCCTTTGAAGAACTCCACAGATGTTTATAGCTCAGGACCTTGATGTTGAACTTTTCTGTGTCTTGTTTTGATTTAGATGCCTTTTCATATGGACACAAATTATTAATTTCTACATTTATATCACTTTGGAAGATATGTAGTATTAGGTGAGTTTGGAAAATACGTGGTCTAGCAAGGATGGGTATTCCACACTCAGGATTCATGTATACAAAGTCATATTATGTATCTTTAACAGAACTCAAAATGAACCTCAGCTTCTCCTGATAAAGGCAAGACAAAGTGGCTTAATTACTTCTTGCCCTTTCTCCTTCTCTGTTCAATTTTCCTTGGAACAATCTTGGTTTGACCTAGGTGACCGCAGGTGGCACAGGCATCTCTGACTGAGGGGAGTGTCTCTGCTGCAGCCACCTAGGAAACATGAGGTGATTTGTTTTGAGGACACTGATATGCTCCAGGGGGAGTCTGGCCGTGACTTCTGCACTCTTCAGTGATGTGGATCCTTGAGACCCAGCTACCTTCTCTAACCACCTCTGGCTCATGCTCTCTACCCAAGTGTCTGCTATAAGTTCTCCTGGACCTAGGATTAGTGACCTTCAGGTATACAACCTGCTTCTAATTTTTAGCTATCTCCTGGAAACCTTTTCATGGAAAAGAGAACCATGCAGACACTTAGGTAGCTGAGATTAACCCAACTGTCTCACAACCCAGATCTGGCCTCACAACCATTGTCTCTCCACTTCGGTTCCCCTTCCCAGAATCCTCTCTGTTTAGGGATTTCCCCAGGCCTACCTGGAGTTTACTTAGTATATTCCTGTACTACAACTCCCAGGAGAGGCCAAGTGGCCAAGCCTTATCTTACCACCAAAACTCATATTCCTCTCTCAGTTCCTGCCATTGTAGAACAATGACACCACAAGAAACGGAGTCATGCCGGGTGGTGGTGGCGCATGCCTTTAATCCCAGCACTTGGGAGGCAGAGGCAGGCGGATTTCTGATGTTCGAGAGTTCGAGGCCAGCCTGGTCTACAGAGTGAGTTCCAGGACAGCCAGGGCTACAAAGAGAAACCCTGTCTCGAAAACAAAACAAACAAACAAACAAACAAAAAAACGGAGTCGCATTACTAAAGAGTTGGGCTCTTTTCAAAGCATGGGCTTAAGTTTTTATTTTGCTGCTGTTCCGTGGATTTTTTTTAAACAATCCAATCAGATACTGTGTCTTGTGCTTCAGGCTGTTCGAAGCCAAGAAAGGAACTGATTGAAGTGGCACAAGACAATACATGAGACAAATAAAAATCTCTATTGACATCCCAAAGAGACATCCCTCCATCACTATATGAAGACCTGGCATTTCAGGTTGGGTGAATTTGGAAGGCAACATTAGAGGAAGGCAAAATAATTTCCATGAAAGTATTAACAAGAAAGACCAGCAAGGAGCGTGTTTAGTAACTTGCTTCATACGAAACAGGAAAGCTTGGAAACATACCTGTGGCTTGGATCCACAAAGATACAGTCAGGACCTCAGGGAGCAGGGCACTGTCCTGTATACATTCAAAGGGATTGTCACTGCCAAAGGGACAGTTGCACAGAGCTGTTCAGAGCAACTTAGCCACAGTCTATTGTGATTTAAACAAAATAAAACTGCCTCAGAAGGAAGGAAGGAAGGAGGAAAAGCAGATCGTAACACTGTTTCAAGATGGCAGGTGAGTAACCGCCCTTTTGTCTTCTGTGCTTAGCTGGAAAGGCAGCTGACCATGCAGAATGAGATGAGAGAAAGGCAAATGGCTATGCAGATCGCCTGGTCCCGGGAATTCCTCAAATATTTTGGAACGTTTTTTGGCATTGCAACCATCTCTTTAACAGCTGGGTATGTTTACAATTTACTTGAAGAGTTTCTGAAACAGCAGTCTTTGCCATGGCCATAGTACCGTTAAGTTGGCTGGAGTCGGACTGTGAGTTTTGAACCTTGAGTATTTATGTAAACAAGGAAAGCTCCCTTAGCTTACCTGTCTGTAGAACAAGAGTAGGAACAGTTCATCTTGCCTTTAGTTCCTTATGTTTTTGTTTTGTTTTGTCTATTTCTCTAGTCTGTAAGTTAAAGAGGGCTCACTTGACACCAAGATGAATGACCTCCATGCTTATCCCAGAGGTCCTGAATAGTAGCTCGCAATCCTTGTCTGCTTTAAAAGGAGGAACCTAAGCCTTGAAGTCAAAGGAAGATTAGCAAGTCATAGACCCTCCCCTTGAGAACCAAAGAATCTGGCAAAGTGTGTTGGATAAGGAAATTCAATTATTCAATTTCTATGTAAGACTCAGATGAATTCAGTAGCTTACGAGATAGAATACATTCTTCCCATAGTGGTTTTTTTCTTACAAGGATAAGTTGTATATTTGCATGTTATATTTGACATTCATTGTTCTATTTTTGAAACAGAGCAATAAAGAGGAAGAGGCCAGCCTTTCTTGTTCCAATAGTTCCACTAAGCTTTATCTTCACTTACCAGTATGACCTGGGCTATGGAACTCTTCTACAAAGAATGAAAAGTAAGTCTTCCTAAACTAGAGTTTCTGTGTCATAATTAATCTGTGGTTCAGGATTGGGGCTGAGAGATGGCTCAGTTGGTAACGTGCTCACTCTGCAAGCAGGAGGCCCTGAGTTCAATCCCCAGTACCCATGTGAAAAAGCCAGGTGTGATGGGACAAGTTTGTAATCTCCATACCGGGAAGGCAGAGACGGGCAGATCTCTACGCTCCCGGCTAGCCAGACTAGCCTCCTTGGCAAGCTCCAGGCTAGTCTGAGACCTTGTGTCAAGCACAAAAACAAACACAGACAATGCCAGAGGATACTGGCGGTTAACCTCGGGCCACCTCACGCAAGTGTACACACATGAACACATACATGTGCACGCACACACACATCTCCCTCTAATAAATCTCTGACTTAGGTGGATTCTGAAAGGACCATTCTCCTACGATTCAGAGGACTAGCACCTCTGCTTCTTCTAACACAGTGGCATGAGTCATCTTTTACCAGCTCATAAGAACTGACTGCTAAATGCTTAGAAATTTTGCATGATGAATATGAGGCACCCTTGTTTATTAAAAATCAAATAAAATAGGAGTATACAGACTTATAATTAAATTATAATAAATACTAAATTGCATTTAAAGCAAAGGTATTAAATTCTCAGAACTCATCTGTTTCCAATTGTTTTTCTATTCTGTATAATCATAGATTACCTGTGTGTCTGCATTGTGCAGATGTAGAAGCAGCATACAGATGCAACAGAGAGCGGCCACGGCTTTGACCGCAGGCTGCACACACTGGTGGCTTGTGATTGCTCCTAACAAGGAGTATTTACATGGTGGAAACTGGCGAAACACCAAGTCAAGCCTTAACCTTCTATTCCGTTGATCATCTAGGCCAGGGATTGAAAAATGTTGACATTTTAAACCCTTGGCAAAGGATTCTAATGACTTCTATAAGTATTCTTCATTTTGCAGACAACTTACTCATTTTTTAGTGTCAATTCACAGTTGTTTGTGTCTGTTGTATATTGGTCAGATCAAGGTAATTATAACTCTCTCCTCGTGCACTTATCATTTCTTTTGTGTACTATTTCTGAGACACAGTCTCCCTGTGTGGCCTAGGCTGACCTTGAACTCATGATCCTCTTGACTTACCTCTGGAGTAATAGAATAGAAGCAAGTAACACTGCACCCAGCTCTAGCTGGGTTTTCAGAGTCCATCATGTTTCCCTTGAGTGGTGTATTCCTTCTCCTGAGTCAGATGGGTGAGATTTAAGGTCATGGATCGTTACTCACAGTGTGTCCCTGGAACAACAATCCTCTTACGAAACGTGTATGACCCCCTTCATCAGCTTACACATTTCTGCATTTTATTTAAGGTGAAGCTGAAGACATATTGGAAACAGAAAGGACGAAGTTGGAGCCGCCAAAAGGACTGATCACCTTTGAAAGCCTCGAGAAAGCCAGAAGGGAGCAGAGTAAATTCTTCTCAGACAAATGACGTCACAGCTATCCTCAAAGCACATATTGCGCCTCAAAAGCACAAAATTGTTGGCTTGAATCATGGTGTTTACAGTTTTTTAAATGATCAAGATTTTGATACAATGCATTTTTATTTTAGGATATTAAAATTCAAAGTGAATTTGTTGAACTATTTTAAAATAAAATTTCTAACACCCAACCAAATCATGGAAGTATTCTAATAATATTCAAATTTCTTGTGTGTATGTGTGTTTTACAAGTATCCGAGTGCAAACTTAATAAATGATGTCGTTCTGAATTTGACACCAATGTCCTGCTGTTTGAGGTCCTATCAGACAGACTTTCCACTTGGTATTCAGCTTCCACAGGCATCTGCTGTTGTGTCCTGTCCCCTACAAAAGAATGTTGACCCGCTCACAGTGACGTACGACGTTCACTGTTTGGAGGAGGAGGAGGAAGAGAGGAAGGAAGAGGAGGAGGAGATGATGATGGTGAAGTTGAGAGATATAAATGGTAGGGCATGTGAGGAAGGAAATGGGTTGATCTTATTTCATTGTATACATATATGATAGTCTCAGTCAATCAATCAATCAACCAATAAGTAAATAAATAGAAGAAATTATAGAGGAAAGAGACGATGATTTCATCTGATGGATCCAGGCACAGTGGAATCTACCATAATATCAACTAATCAGGAGGCTAGGGCAGGAGGTTCTTGCTTGAGACCAGGCTGAGCAATGTAACAAGACTCTGTCATACATACGCACACATGCGCACGCACACACAATCTCATAAAACTGATATGTTATTGGTGCCCAAAATATATCGTCAAGAGTTTTAAATTTAGAATTATTCTGCAATGCAAGTTTTTCGGACACCAGTGTTCAGCAGGTGGAATTTCAGGCCCCTTCAAAGCTGTGCTAGCTAAAGACCTTACAGAAGACTGAGCTGCTGGGCAGTCCAGCCAGGCCCTTCCTTCTGGCTCCTTGTCTTGAAGTAGAGTTCATTGATAACTCATATTCAAACATCTCCTCCTACAAGAGTCTTCCCCATATGCACAGAGAGACAAAAACCAAAGTGGTCTAAACAACTGCTTTTAAGCACAGCTGTTAAAACTTAGTTCAACTGGCCTGAGAACTGGTTATCCAAAGCTTCCCTTCTTCCTATTACAACATCCTTTTACCGAATTGACAAGCATTCCATCTGTAACTCTTGTGTTATCTTAGTCATTTGCATTAATTAAATATTTAGTGCATCTTAATTACAACTTTTATTCAATTCCTAATACTGAATCAGCTATGGTCTCTTGGCTAGCTTATTATCACGGCCTTTTGTGGGGCTTCAAGAAAAATGAGGTAATAAAACATGAGAAAACACATTAAAGACGAGAGGAAGCTGAAGTCACCTTACGAACAAACATTTAGAGATTCATGGTAACCACACTCAATGGCTCTGCCAAAGCTGGGGCGGGACACTTACCACGTGGCTTTCCACTTCCGGAGACATGCTGGCAGAGCAAAGCAAAGCTACCTATGTGAGAAGTCTCCCTCGGGGTTGAAGGGCTTCCGTGAGCATTCAGTAGACTGATGGAGCAGAAAGAACAGTGAATAATTTTGTAATAATTAAAACTTAGTTTATGAGATTTTAATACTGAAGCCTTAGTAAGATTTATTTGTATTTTATGTGGATGGATGTTTTGCTTGCACATGTGTGCAGTCCCAGAGAGGCCAGAGGAGGCTGTCAGATCCTCTGGAACAGGAGTTATAGAGGGTGTGAGCTGCCATGTGGGAACAGAGACTTGAACTTGGTCCTTTGGAAGAGCAGCCAGTGCTCTTAACCACTGAGCCATCTTTCCAGGCCCCTTCTAAGCATTTTGAATGTTTTAAATTCACACTTAAGGGAGAGCATTGTGCCTCTCCAAAACTTTTATGAAGTTTTACATCTAAAATGAGTAGTTTTGCACTAAACGCTGGTGGCCAGAATCTGTGACAGGCTCCTCTTCAACATAGTGTGTTAGCTATATCCGAGTAGTATCTAAATCAAGTTTTAAATCCAGTGACTGACTTGGTTTGTAGCTAAGTAATAGAGTTCTTATCTAGTGTGTATGAGCCGTAGGCTCTACCCTTAGACTCACAAACGAAACTCCAAAAACGTCACAAATAATATACGTTTTAAAAAGTCACCTTTGCCACATCTTAGGGCCATACAAAGTGTATGGAAAATGGATCAAAAGTGCATGGATTAGCCCATTACCTTCAATTACATAGTGAGTTCAAGACCAGCCTGGACTACATGAGGCTATCTCAAAACAAAACAAAAAACTAAACAAAAGAGTACGTGGGTTAGAAGAGAACAGACAAGGGACAGACTCGGATTGTCAAAATCGGGCTGGGCATGTAGTTTGGTGAGAGAGTGTTTGGCTAGTATGCATGAGGCCCAGAGTTCAAGTCCTAGCACTAGAAAGACACACACACACACATAAAGAGAGAGAGAGAGAGAGAGAGAGAGAGAGAGAGAGAGAGAGAGAGAGAGAGGAGAGACAGACAGATATAGAAACAGGTTTCATATAATATTATATATAGTACATATAATGTGTATACACTCACAGACATCAAATTTCAAAACCTCTGCAACCGATATGATTCGAATGCATGCGATCTAATCGCTGTGTTATATAGATTTCAGCAATTCCAACATATGAGTGTCCAAACGTGAATGGACATTCTAGAGACTCTCGCCAGAACCTTGTCTTTTTATTTTTTTTTTCAGTTCTGCCATTCTGAGAAAGGAATAGGCTCTTGCTGAGAAATCATTATTAAATACAGCCTGTTTCTCAAACATTGTGGTGTTTCCTGCCCTTGGGGGTGTGTCTATTCTGCAAGAGGATTGGAAATGTTCCCTTGGCTTTAGCCTTGTGGGTACCCGCAGGAGACTTCAGGAAGACAGTACATACTTCAGAAAGCAGTTTCCAGCACTTTCAGCATCTCCACTGATTTTTTAGATACCTACTTTGGTCAGTCTCGTGACCTATATGAAGACTAGAGAAGTTCCTGGGTTATAGACAGGCAGAACGCGAGGCCCAGAAAGGGGTGCGCATGGACAACCTGAAAGGTCTAAAAGTCAAGAAGGGGGCTGAGGGGGAGCAGTCTTTGTGAGGGGAGGTGCTCACTCAAATGCTTCCACTGCGTAGACAGACCATGCATGACTGCCAGTGGCCACAGTGGGGTCCTCTCACAAGCCAGTTCATCTTTATATAGCTAATAAAGATGTGATTTCTTCTGAAGCAAACAGACATGTATTCCCACTGCTGTGACTTTGTTGCTCTAAGCATAAACACCACCTAAATAGCAGAACTGTATGTACTTCTGAAAATCTGAATGTTTTTATACCTTCCATCAGTATAAGATAGCAACTAAATCAGAGGTTCTCAACCTTCCTAACACTGCAACCCTTTAATACAGTTTCTCATGTCGTGGTGACCCCCCAATTATAAAATTATTTTGTTGCCATTTCATAACTGCAATATTGCTAATATTATGAATCATAAGGTAAATATTTGATATGCAGGATATCTGGCATGCAACCTCTATGAAAAGGTCATTCGACCCCTGAAGGGTTGTGACCCACAGGTTGAGAACCACTCTTCTAAGGTCAAAGAAGAATGTCAAAAGTATAAAATTTCTGCTGGATTCTGCTCTTGTAATCAAACATGGAATGCTGCCAGAAGTCTCAGCTGCTGACTCAGCACTGTCAGTCACATCCACTTTTTTTCTGTTTAGAAGGATAAGGCAGGGATAACTTCAGTTAGACCAGCTTTTTCTGAGTACATTTGGTACCCATTACTGGAATTGCTTCAATTACTATTCACTGCATAATTTCCATTCTTCTGTGTCATTTTTTGTTATTATTTTTTAATGAGAGACCCATTCTGGCCAAGTCTCCTTTAAATTAAAAAGCTATTTCATTGTGATTCCACGTATGAAATCTTTGGCAACACTGACCTCAGCTGACCATAACAGCATTTTCCTGGAAAGTAGAATGTTGACTAGAAAGAACTGAGGGGAAATAGGACTGTCTGTGTCATGACAAAGATACGGCATACACCAGTGTCCTCATTTGTCAAATTGCATGCCTATTATGTGTGCATTGCAAAGTATATTATTTAAAATTATAATAACCATCATAGTTTTCATTGTCATAATTGGATGAGTGGGAGACTATAGTGTGTGGTGTGTGTGTGTGTGTGGTGTATGTGTGTGTATGAGTGTGGTAGTGTGTGAGTATGTGTGTGTGAGTGTGTGTGAGTGTAGCGTGTGAGTATGTGTGTGTGTAGTGTGTGTATGTGTGGTGTGTGTGTACCTGTATATGTGTGTGTGTATATATATGTGCCTCTGTGTGTGTGTGGTGTGAGTATGTATGTTAGTGTGTGTGTTAGTGTATGTGTATGTATATGTGTGTGTGTGTGTGTGTATGAGTGTAGCGTGTGAGTATGTGTGTGTGTAGTGTGTGTATGTGTGGTGTGTGTGTACCTGTGTATGTGTGTGTGTATATATATGTGCCTCTGTGTGTGTGTGGTGTGAGTATGTGTGTTAGTGTGTGTGTTAGTGTATGTGTATGTATATGTGTGTGTGAGTGTGTGTATGAGTGTAGTGTGTGAGTATGTATATGTGGTGTGTACGTGTGGTGTATGTGTGTACCTGTGTATGTGTGTGTGTGCATATGTATGTTTGGTGTGTGTGTGTATGTGTGGTGTGTGTGTATATATATGTGCCTCTGTGTGTGTGTGGTATGTATGAGTGGTCTGTGTATATGTGTGTGGTGTGTGTGCATGCGTCTGTGTGTGCATTCATGTGTGTGTGGTATGTGTATAAGTGTGGTGTGTGTGTATGTGTGTGGTGTGTGTATGCATGTGTGTGTGAGTGGTGTGTGTGCATGTATATGTGTGTGTGTGTGTGTACTCTGTGTGTGTGTCTCTGCATACAGAGAGAAAGGCACTTGTAGATACAGGTGAAATAAGAATGGTAGAACAATAGTCGTGGAAAATAGTAAGTAGGTATCCTTTATGTGACACATGTATTTCATATGACACATATTTTCATTATAAATAATCTTTAAAAACTAACGTATTTCTTAAATCTGTCTGATCAACAAACTTGATTTTTCTAGACTTCTGAAACTACATGTATTAGAAACATAAATAACAAAAGTAAAATGTTGAATGAAAAAAAACCATAATATTCAAAGGTATTCATTCAACATGGTAAAAACATTCTTGAAACACAACCCAGGTCAAAGAGGTGACA